TTTGTTATATTAACGTTTCCGTTGACCACTTCCCGTTCTTTTTGTTGGTTTCTCTGGATTCCAGGTAACAAATGGTGTCATTTCCTTGGGCCATTACCGCCTTGTTTCCATCTGCATCTTTTGTACTGTTCGTCTCAAATAAATCCCATTTCTGTATGTTACAGTCCCCAACATAGGATTGCATACATCGTTTTATGCAGTTGTCTTTTAAATCAGTTAAGAGACGAAAGAAGAGATTGGCAATCCGATCTGTTCCTTTACTGGCGTATTTGTTTTTATCAAGTGAATTAGAATTAGTGTCTGATGTCACTCGTTTTCAGCCTAAAGAACTTGGTTTAGTAGTTTTTGTAAGCCGGGTCTTCTAGGAACAAATTATCTCCATGGTTGTTGATCTGAAAATGTCTTCATTTCACCTTCATTTTGAAAATCTAGTTTTGCTAGATAGAAGAGTCTGGCTAACTTATTTTGTCTTTCACCCCTTTGAATATGTCATCCTGCCACCTTCTGGCTTCATTAATTCCAAAGGAAAGTCAGATGTTGATTTAATTGGAGTTCCCTTGTACGTGCTAAGACATTTTTCTCTCGCTGCTTTCAAGATTTTCTTTTTGTCTTTGAAAATGTTGACTGTGTTATATCTGGGTATGGATCTCTCAGTTTATCCAACGGGAAGTTCGTTAAATTTCTTGGCTATGCAGATTCATTTAATCACATTTAAGAAGTTTTCAGGAATTATTTCTTTGGATATTTTTCTGCTCCTTTCTCTCCTGTCCTTCTGGGACTCCTATAATATGACATGTATGTTGGTGCCCTGGATGGTGTCCCAGATTTCTTTGAGGATCTTTTCCTTTTTCTTCATTCTTTCTTCTCCCTGTTCCTCGGATTGCGTAGACTATTGGTCTTTGTGCAAGTTTGCTGATTCTTTCTTCCACGCAGATTTCCTGTTGGGTCCCTTCAGTGAATTTTTTAATTTTGGTTATTGTACTTTTGAACACCAGAAATTCCATTTGCTTCTTTTTTGTGACTTCTGTCTCGTTATTGATATTTTCTATTTGACGAGACATCATTGTCATACCTTTAATTCTTTCAGCATTTCATGTGTCCTTTAGTTCTTGGAGCATCTTTATAATAGCTGCTGTCTAGTCTTTGTCTCCTAAGTCCAGTATCTGGGGCCTCCAAAGGCAGCTGCTGTCGCCTGCTGTTTTTCCTGTGTATGGATCACACTGTCCTGTTCCTTGGCATGTTTTGTTTCTTTTTTGTTGAAAGGTGGGCATTTTATTTTTTTTTTTAAAGATTTTATTTATTTGAGAGAGCAAGAGTGAGAAGGGGGAGCAGCAGAGGGAGAGGGAGAAGCAGGCTCCCCGTGGAGCAAGGAGCCCAACGTGGGGCTGCATCCCAGGACCCCGGGATCATTACCTGAGCCAGAGGCAGACGCTTAACCGACTGAGCCACCCAGGCACCCTGAAAAGTGGACATTTTAGATAATGCAATACAGCAACTCTAGATACTGATCTCTTTCCCTCCTGTCTGTGGAGCTTGTTTTTGTTGCTTGCCGGTTGGTTGGTTGAGTGACTTCACTAGACTAGTTCAGTGAAGTCTCTTTGCTGCTCAGTGTGCAGCCTCTGGTGTCACTCCTTGGCGGGCACAGCGCTGGGCATGTACATGGCTGCTCTGACCCTCCCACCCCCACGCAGGGGTGATGGTGGTTACACGTGGGCTCTCCTCTACTATGTCTTTACCCGATTTCCCTGTTGCCTTCTTCCTGTGTTGATAATAGACCCGAGTTGTCAGCTGATGACTGTGTTTTTGACCATGCCCTGAGACGTAAGCATTCCACAGTCTGAGATCATTAAAGTCGGGCTCCTTTGCAGGGGTAGTCTTCAGGGCCCGTCTTCAGGGTTTTGTCTGACCTCAGGAAGGCTCTTCTTTGCGCTCTCTGCCCTGCTGCTCTTTGTGAAATGAGCTGGTCTGCCTTTGGTCTCCAGCTATTGTGGAACTACCAACTTCCTCTTCATTTCCTGCCACAGAAATCTCCCTGGTCTGTGATAGTGCCCATAAGCTTGACCTTCCCTACTCTGTGTTGTGTGTCCTCTGGTCCACTTCTGGAGAGCTCTCTGTTCTTTTTTAAAGATTTTATTTATTTATTTGGCAGAGAGCGAGAGAGGGAACACAAGCAGGGGAAATGGGAGAGGGAGAAGCAGGCTTCCCGCTGAGCAGGGAGCCCAATGTGGGGCTCGATCCCAGGACCCCTGGATCGTGACCTGAGCCAAAGGCAGAGGCTTAACGACTGAGCCCCCCAGGCGCCCACTGGTCCTCTTGACCACACTTGCCTGGAACAGAGCTGCTCCGGCCCAGGCTGTGGCAAATGGCAATGCTGGTGGGCCTGGCCGAGGAGAAACCGTCATCCTAGACTAGAGGTTGTGGGGTAAGAGGGAGCCGCTGCTTCTTCCCTGTCCCCACCCAGGGTAGCATTTCTGTTACTCTGGGCTGAAGGATAGGGGAGGAGCAGGTTATCCAATGCTAGAGTGTGGCTATTCTTACCAAGAGGAGTTGATTTTCTTGAATAAATGTTTCTCTATTTGCTGTATGCTCTTCAGACAATTCATAGAGACTTAAAATGTTTAATTTTTTTTTTTTTTTTTTCTGGTTAGGGCTGTTTTTCCAGGTAATCTGAGAAGCTTCTCATCCTACCCCTCCAGGTCTAGCTCTAACGTTTTGAAAAAAATAAACTCTGCTTCCTCATGGATATTTAACTTTCTAGACCCCACTGATGCACACAGTCCTCTCCTTCCTCTGTCTGCGGTCAGAAGTCTTTTACCTTGAACTCAGCCGATTGTCGGTGGAAGAACAAGCAGTTTAACCTTCTGATCGCATAAAAGGCATTGAATTTACTTCAACAACATGACTTTCTGTTATAGATGAGGGAGAAATTTGTCTCTAACCTACCCAAACCTTACTCTGCTGGACAGTATGAGTCTGTCTTTGAGGATTTGAAGATATTGCCAGGAAGGGAAGGGTCTTTGTTCCCCTGGTGCAGGCAGTTCCCAGTGATTGCTGGGAAGTAGCTGGAGTTTTCTCCCTGACCCCAGTTACTACCCACACCCACACACCTGAATTTTTGCCTCTTCTGTTTATAACACACTGGTATGGGTATTTTGAGGGATTTAACCCCAATATCTGGTGCACACAGGGATGGTGTCCAGCTGCTCTTCTGGGTAAGTATTCTCAGAAAACCCTATTTTCAGGAATAATAGAACATCAAGGAGCTTAATGGAAGGTGAGGGTTGGCCTGCCACCTGTTTCTATGTGACTGGTCAGTTCTGAATGCTTACTACATGTGTAAAGAGTGGGGAGAAGTCAGAAGATGAGTATTGCAGGACATGTGACAACATGAAATTCAGATTTGTGTCCCTAAATGAACTTTGGAACATAGTTCTGCTCACGTGTTTATGTGTTGCCTACAGTTGCTTTGATGCTGTGACAGGAGAGTTGAGTGGTTGCAGCAGAGGCTAGCCCTCAAAATCCAAAATCCTTCCCATCTGGTTTTTTACTGAACAAGTTTGCTGACCCAGTCTAAAATATGTCTGAATGGAGCAGCATGAGTGATTTTTTCTTAAGGAAATATTTTAGGGCCTAACAACCATGTCTCAGTAGGACTTAGAGATGCCTGACAAGTTTCAGGACACGTAGTTGGAGTTCAGGTGGAAATAAGTGTGCCACCAGTTCTGTAAGCAAATGTCATTCACAAGGGAAACTTAAAAACCTAGGTCACGTGGGTATTTGAAATGAGCACTGCAATGGTGCAGGTTTTCCCCAGCTTCTGTTTGATCTGAGATGGTAGCATTCTGTTTTCTGTAACTACTGAATTTCTTTCTAACTTAGAAGAAGCTATATTCCTTACTTGATTTCTTGTGCTTGGAGGAAATGTGCTTCCCAAGGTTATGTCTGTATTAATTTAAAATACTCAGATAATTCCACTGGCTGAGTTTAAAAAAATTAAAAAATCAGATGAATTATTTCTGGCATGATATAGACATTCTTGAAAATTAAGTGAAGAGCTAGGAGTTAAAAAGTCTGGAATTTTAAGCTACTTGCTTTTTGTGACAGTGTAGACAAAAGCCTGACTGATAGAAGAATGTCCTATAAGAATGTATTTTAACCTTTCAAATGTGCTAAAAATTGAGCATGATTCAATGCTTTTTAGGCTTAGTGTTTATGCTTTGCAAAGGATCATGATTCATAGTCAAATTGTAATTATTTCTTACAAGAAAAGATACAGTTTTACCTGAGCAGTATTTGACTTTATAAAACTTTAGCATCCTTTTTTTTTTTTTTAGATTTTATTTATTTATTTGACAGAGAGTACAAGCAAGGGAAGCAGCAGGCAGAGGGAGAAACAGGGAGCCCAACACAGGGCGTGATCCCAGGACTCCCGGATCATGATCTGAGCCAAAGGCAGACACCCAACCGACTGAGCCACCCAGGCGCCCCTTTAGCATCCTTTTTAAAAACATTTCTAAGATTAGTCATATTTACTGACATCTGTTCCCTGCAAGACAATTTTTACTCAACAAGGTCTACCTATCGTTTACCTGTGATTAAATGGTCAAACAATAGGGCTTTTCCATCTATGCTGAAAGAAAGAAAATCTGCCTTTCCATTGCAGTTCTTGGTTATCACTGGGTTCAAACTCACTCTTATTTGGGGGGCATGTAGTGAAATGATGTCATTTCCATGACTTAAAACCCTAAAAGCTCTGCCAGGGAAGTTCAGAGACATACACAGATCAGTTCAGCATCTGAAACCACATTTTTGTGTTCTGGCTTGTGGTATTGAGTGGTTTCTGGTCTTGTGCCTGAGAGATTCCTCGTCCTATCGCGCACATTGTTAGTCATTCTCAGGCGCTTTCTCCTTCTCCATCCTGCCAGGTTCTGCCTGCCCAAATCCACGACTGTGCTTCTGCATCAATGACTTTGTGAAACATTTTTGTTTCTGTTTTCCAGGCATCTAGTGGAAATTATTATTTCATCCCGTACATCGTGACACCGTGTGCTGATTATTTTTGCTGCGAGAGTGACGCCCAAAGGCGTGCCTCAGAGTACATGCAGCCCAACTGGGACACCATCCTGGGTCCGCTGTGTGTGCCCCTGGTGGACAGGTTTATTAGCCTCCTCAAGGACATCCACGTGACCTCATGGTAATTCCCATTCACCGTCAGCAACCCTGGGAGCCTTGCCAGAATTTTCCCTTCACGGAAGCTGTAGACCCTTAGGAGACCGTAATGCCCAGAGAATGGGGAAACCCAGCCAGTCTGTTTTGTGCTTAAGTGCTTCTGGAATCCATTATTGTTCCTTGCTACCTCACTAAGTTGGGCCATTGAGGTGTGGCCAAAAGAGAATAGAAGTGGAGTTTTAGCAGGTGAGGGTTGAGCCTGTATCTGGCCCCAGCTCCCTGTGTGACCTTGACAAATAATTCTGTGTAGCTGTTTTCTCATCTAGAAAATAAGGACGTTAAGTCACTGTTTTTATGCTCTTTCAACCCTAAGATTTTGTGTTTTAAGATCCTTTCCAAACATGATTTTGTCTCCCCCTGTCCCCAACCCCATGCAGCTGTTGAGGTTGTTAAAATGGCTCAACAAGTTCACTCCGATCATTAAGTTCTTGCGTTGAGTCAAGTCACAGGACATCCTGACCCCAGGATGTCTTGGGACGTGTTCTTTGCAGATTTATGTCAGAGAAGGTGGGGAATACTCATTCAGAGGTGAGCAGGTTTGGGTCTGAGTCCTGGGTCAGACGATTCTGCACTTGGCAGCCTCGTAAAAGCTCACCTATCTGAGCCTCTGTGCTCAAGAAGCCATACCTTAAAATGTTCTTATTCTAAAAGTTGGAGGCCAAAAGTTATCCACTAAACCAAAGGATCCATTGATTGTGCTTGCCGCCTATTTAAAGGATCTACTCCTGTAAGCTACCTCACAAGAAGGATCTGTCCTTCCAAAACAAATGAAAATCCAGAGCCCTAGCAGAATTGGCTTTAAATGGAAAGGCCCCCACATCCCACTGTGGCTCAGATGGTGGCTCCCCCAGCTGTGACTTGTGTCAGTCTGAGGTACACACTTGCGAATAGTCTGTTCTTTTTCTATCCTGTCATCTCTTGTTTGGACACAGAGTTTCTCCTACGCACCTTAATGGAGAAATAAGACTAGAAACCCAGGTCTTTGTGACCAAATGCCAGTGTGGACAACAGATGGGGGATCTTTAGTGGGGCATTCCTGCAAAGCCTGACGCAGTCCAACCTTGCTGCACAATGAACATTTTAGTGACATTTAGGGAGAAAGCTCTTCAAATATTAGCTTTTCAGGTCTGACGAGGAAATGGGCTGGCTTGAGTCTGCCATCTGAGCCAGGCCTTCCAAGAAGTGGGCTCAAGTTTGTTTTTAGTGAAAGGAGTGTGTGTGTGTTATCAATAGGAAAGTATCTGTTTTGATTTGGTGTAATTCCAAAGGACTCGAAATACCTGTTAGTCGCTTCTACCCCTTGAATGGTTACTGAGAAGGGTACATGGGGCTTCTGTTTAAAACATCTGTAGGAGGGATGGCAGGTAAGTTTTTCGCTCAGGTGTCAGCTCTGATAGATGGGTAAAGGCTGCCTGTAGCCTTGTGCTGAAAAGGGGTTTGAAACCATTTTCAAGTTCACATCAGTCAGCAGCATCTTCCCTCGTTACCACAGGCAGAAACGTCTACATGTGTAGTACATAGATGATAGCTCCGAGCCATACTCAATTCAGTATTTTGCTTTTTTACTTACAAGTTATAGCTCTTGTGAGGTTTCTTAGTTTATTAAAACTGTTTTTCCGAATTAGCCTTAAAAACAAGACTAAAGTCTAACTTCTCACTTGTCAGGTTAAACCAATAACACTTTAATATCTTTGATGACTTTATAGTCCACCAAACGGACAGTGGCTGTCACCCAACTTAATGGCTCCTAAGATTAATGACAGAATTTTACACACTGGTGGAATCTGCTAATTTGCTCATCGGGATGATAAGCAAGAGACAAATAAGAAAATAAAGAATGAAAGCAACACACTGATAATTTTATGTCAGAGCGCTTTCTGTGGGGCACCACTGCATTCTTTAAATGTTATGAGCATTGGCGTAGGCATAGGCTGTGTCTTATATTCACATTTACTTGGCATAGGTTTAAAATTATTAAAGGCAAGTAACATTCATTCTTATTCTTATGTATTTGTCTTTCTCTGAAGGCTGTTAAATTGAGCCTGCTCCTTTTGTTTTTTTAAGGTTTCTTTTAGAGACAGTGTGGGTGGGAGGGGCAGAGGGAGAGAGAGAATCTTAAGCAGATTGTCCACTGAGCACAGAACCCGATGCGGGGCTCAATCCCATGACCCTGAGATCATGACGAGCCTGCTTCTTCCCCCCCCCCCATAAACAGCCTAGTTTTTCTCTCTACAACGAAGTCCTCTCAGCTACTTAACTGGTTGATTGTAGATTACTGCTTGGCAGTGCCCAGTCTCCATTAAAACATTACTTGGAAAGTAGACAACATATTTAAATCAATCTATGGTCACCGTAAGTTGGCCTCTATACGTCAAATTAGATCATTTGTGAAAGTTTTAAACCAAGTACCAGATATTAGCACTGGTTCTCTGAGAGGCTGCAGTAAGAGATTCCAGTGTGGATTTGAACTGCTTTAGATGTTTTTATACATCCCTATTATTATCTAGATGCTCCCAGGAAGGAAGTTTTGTTTTACGTTAGAAAAGCATTCTGGCAGTCGAAAATGAGCAGGGGAGTGGGAGTGAAAGGCAGAAGTTGTCCATAAGCTTCCAGGCACAGCTTCTGGGATTGCTCATGGACGCACCCAGTTTCTGGCTCTTGGCCAACTGGAAAGAGCTTTGTGATTTCTGTCTAGGTGGGGATACCTGATAGATGGACGTTAAAGACGTTCTCATTATACTGTGTTTCATGATTTTTGGACTTGTATTTGGCTTTGTGATAATGTGTTAATAGTGGGGGAAATAAGCGATTCAAGTAAGGTAACCTCTTGCTCTCTCTGTGCTGGAAAATCCCAGAGGGGATAGGGTGGGCTGAGTAGCAAGTCCTATGAGTCATCCAAATACTAACAGGGGTCAACTTTGAAAATACTTCCAAGGTCCTAATGAAGTGAATTTGTTGATGTTGAGTGGTTAGTTGCCACAAAAGGCGACTAGCAAGTAGGACCTGTCTGTCTCTGCTGGTGCAGGGAGGCTCGGGGCTGGGAGATGCCTCCCTGTGTCCAGCTCTGTCATGGCTATGAGAACCAAGGTGGTTTGAGCTGCCGAAGGAAACAGAGTCCCACATGTAGGTAGATGCTACTGGAGGTTTACCTGTTTCCTCTCCAGCGTTTACTACAAAGAAACCTTGTTAAACGACATCCGGAGAGCCCGAGAGAAATACCAGGGTGATGAACTGGCAAAGGAACTGGCTCGGATCAGACTTCGCTTGGACAACACCGAAGTCCTGACCTCAGACATCATCGTTAATTTGCTGCTGTCCTACCGCGACATCCAGGTACAAGCCCCCTTCACAGAAGTGGGTGCATGCGGAGCGCTTCCTTGGCCTGAGGAGTTCGTTCCTCACGTGAAGCACTCTTCTGTCCACCAGATGGTTAGCTAACTGATTTATGGACAAAAGAGGATTGTGGCTAGGTCATAGATCCCCTAGCATATCTGTTGTGCGGGTAACATTGGGGGTTTTGTCACATCAGATGGCCACTCCCGCCAAACCTCATTCACAGTGCTGCTCGATAAAAGGATCTTAGAATTTAACAGTTTAGATGCACTTTACGCGAGGCATTGTTTCAAGCTCTTGGCGAGTCCCAGTTCACTTAATCCTCTTCACAAGCTTATGGGATGTATACTCTGATTATCCCCGTTTTACAAATGAGGCACAGAGAAGTTAAGTAAGTTGTCCAAGGTCACACAGCAGTTAACAGATTCAACTGAGGCAGCGTTGTCCTTGCTCTTTACTCCTCGGCTATGCTACTTTCTTTAGGCCCCTGTCACTTTCTTCTTTGTTGACCACGCTGCCCATCAGTGACAGGGAGGGTAGTAGTAAAGGCACATCCAGGACCCAGGCAATGCAGAGGTTTACTCTAAAACAAGCCTCAGAGCCTCATGAGGAGTGCTTGAGACAGAGTTTATGGGATGCGGTACCATGCAGGAAATGGAGTGTTTCTGCCCTCCAAGTTAAATGCTGTCGAGCCATTTGTAAGGATGTCTTGACTTGCTTCCCTTTGGAGGGTACACAGGACAGTGTGCCTTCCATGAAGAATTCTACAAAGCCATATTGGAGGTTGTTGACAACAGGTCTTTAAATCAAATTGAGAGAGGCACCCACTTATGACCTGAACAAAGAAGAATCAACTGCTAAGGAATGCACACCCTGGTGATAAACAGATGCATCTAATTGACTTTAATAGCAGATGCTATTAGGGATTTTGACAATGATGAAATGATGGCCAGGGGACAAGAGAGTGCAAATGACCTGTTTTTGAAGTCTGTCTTCCATTGAGCTCCTTCTGTGCTGGCCTTCATGCCTCTCTCCTTTTTATAACCTTCCATTGGTAGGGCTCAGAGGTAAGCCAGAAGCTTCTTGGAATACACTCCCGCCTTTTCTTGAGCAGCAGCATCAAGGTGCAGAGCCACAGAACAGGCGTGGGATCCCAGTGGGCAGTCCTCCTCAGTGAACTGTGGCTGGCTGGCAGTGAGTTGGCCAGTCACCCTGGTTGGAAGCCTGGCCGAAAGAGTAGTAGATGGCACTGCTCAGAGGGGACCCAGCTGAGATGAACACAGTAGCAGTTTTTCCCTGGGTGATTATGCAGCTTAGGACCCTGCTTCTCAACCAGAGGACGTGTGGCCGGGTCTGGAGACCTTGTTGGTTTTCATGGCTCAGGGGTGAGGGGGAGGTGCTGCTGTCATCTCCCGGCTCCAGGCCCTGGGTGCTGCTTAACCTCCCAGAATACCCAGGCCAGCCCCCACAACCGAGAAGGATCCAGCCCCAAAGGGTCAGTAGTGCCAAGGTGGAGAAACCCTGGTTTAGATGAATTCAGTTCTTTATGGCAAAATGGGAAGGACCTGGCATGTTTGCTCTCTTCCCATGCTAGGCGACTATAAGATTTTGTGTGTGTTTATATCTCGCTCATTTTATTTTTTATTTATTTTTTTATTTTTTTAAGATTTTATTTATTTATTTTGACAGAGACACACGGCGGGAGAGGGAGAAGCAGGCTTCCCGCTGAGCAGGGAGCCCAATGTGGGGCTCGATCCCAGGACCCTGGGATCATGACCTGAGTCGAAGGCAGACGCTTAACCGACTGAGCCACCCAGGCGCCCCTATCTCTCTCATTTTAACCCACAGCTCTGCTGGTGCTCTTAACTCTCCTGCACTCACGGTGTGGGAGCTTTTTCTGGGCTGCCGGACTTGCTTGCTTGCTTTTGTTGCCTTTGGATTTAGCCTCATCCCCTTGATCCGTTTGTGGCCTCTGATAGCAGGGATTCTTGGTCTACCTTCTCTCTCATTCATTTTGGGTTGTTGTTGTGTTTTGTTTTTTTTTAAACCTTATTCCTGTTATGTTACAGGCTGTAAGTAACTTCACTAAATGCTGTCTGTAGGGAAACGCTTAATATTTAAATGCTGAGGCAGTCTTAGGTTGATAACCATTCAGAAGAACCTGAGAAGAGCTGTGGGTCTCCTGTCTTTCTCACCTTGGGACCTCTTGCCAACAGGACTATGACGCCATGGTGAAGCTGGTGGAGACCCTGGAAATGCTGCCTACATGTGACTTGGCCGACCAGCATAATATTAAATTCCACTATGCATTTGCACTCAACAGGTAAGAGTGAGACCTGCTGCCTCTTAAATTCTTCTTTCATTCAACCCTCACTGAGTCTGAGCCAGATCGGGTGCTAAATGCCAAGGTTATGAAAATGGGCAAGGCATCTGGTCTTGGTGTTCATGGATTTTGTCTTTGGAATGTATATTCCAGCCATGAGTTCAGACATGTAACTAAAGCCCTAGAACTCAGAGCAATAAATGCCTTGATGAGGGTTTGCCCCAAATGCTGTGGAAGTCTAACAGAAGGAGGAAGTCCTTCCACTTGGGGCTTTTAAAGAGGCTTCCCTGGGGTCTTTAGGGCTGGGTTTGGAATTCGTAGTAAGAATTACCTCACATGCAGAAGAGAGCGTGGGATGGGGTGGTGAAAAGGCCATTCTACTTGGCCAGAGCAGAAATGGGAGCTTAGTGTTCTTCATGTGCAGTGGGCCTTCAGGGAACATCCAGGGCCTTCAGGGAACATCCAGGGCGATTAGAGTACAGGATGCCCCGGAAGCAAACGCATGCCCTGAGGCTAAGTGTGGAGGCTGGGACTATGTCTTTTTTTTTTTTTTTTTTAAAGATTTTATTTATTTGACAGAGAGAGACACAGCAAGAGAGGGAACACAAGCTGGGGGAGTGGGAGAGGGAGAAGCAGGCTTTCCACTAAGCAGGGAGCCCGATGCGGGGCTTGATCCCAGGACCCTGGGATCATGACCTGAGCCGAAGGCAGACGCTCAACGACTGAGCCACCCAGGCGCCCCTGGGACTATGTCTTGAAAGGACCTCATATACATGAATAAGGGGTTGATAGTTATCTTGTGGACTGTGGGGAATGAGTTTTAGCAACTGGATGACTGTTGTAGGATAGGAGAAGAAGGTGCTGTCTTCATTTACTAGTATAATCTGAACTTTTGAATACAAATTTCTGGGCTAGATGGAGTTTGTGAGACTTGGAAATTCCTGCCTGGAGACCAGGAGCCTCAAAAGCTTGTGTGCTGGGGGTATTAGGATGCTGTAACAAAGAGACCCGGAATGCAGTGATTTGAGTAAAATGGAAATTGCTCTTTCACCTAACAGTGTAGCAGTGAGTGGGCCAGAGGAGTGGCTTAGCACTGCTCCAGGAGTTGTTTGGGGACCTGGTTTCTGACCATTTTGTAGCTCTTGAATTTGTGAAAATGTTATCCCCTTCTAGTTGAAGCTAGGTCACTCCTACTCTGTATTCCAGCCTATGTAAAGGGGGAAAGACTGGAAGTTCAGGACAAGTTCCTTTAAAGCAAGTAGAATTAACATGGGGACACTTCTACTCGCATTCCATTGGTGAACGCATACTCACATGACCCCATGTAGCCAGAAGGGCAGCTGGGAAATGTAGTCTCTACCTGGGCAGCCATGTGCTCATTCAAACTCAGCTACTGTGGATTTGGAGGATCATTAGGAGTTGGCCAGGTTGAACCTCACAAAATCCCAGGTGCCTAAATGTTTTAGTCCTGCAGTCTCCCTTCTTCCCCGGTTAAGATACAGGAAGGGGAACACCATTAGGTGAATACGGTGAGAGCCATGCCCAGATAAACTTAATGCTGGGCCTGCCCTCTGCTGGGGCCAGGAATTGGTCATACTGAATCATAAAGCAAAAAACTCTGGCGGCGGGGGGAGGAGGGGGTATTCAAACTTAGCCTGAGAGCCAGAGAGTTCTGGCACCTCCTCATCAACCTTCCGTGGCCAACATCTTCCACAGGGAATGAATAAAGTGAGCGTAGGAGGTGACCTGAGTGAGAGGACTCTTGTGTCTGGTTTCTCAGAGTCTTGGCTTGGCTTCAGCAGCTGCATCAGGCTACACGTTGTGGGCTTGTCCCTGGCAGCATCTGCAGGACAGCTGATGTGTTCAGGAGCCCATGGCTTCAGGAGGCTCATAACACACATGATGTCACATCTCTCTTTTACAGCGAAGCAACATGTACACACAATGAAATGCATAGATCATAAGTATACAATTCAATGAATTTTGATAAATGGACATATGCTGTAAACAACGCCCCATCCGCAATATAAAACATGTCTATCCCCTCACAGTGCTCCTTTGGGCTCCTTTGCAGGCAAGCCGCACCCCTTCGTAGGCAACCACTGTTGTCACATCTGTCACCATGCATGAATTTTTCCTGTCCTGGAACTTCATATAAATGGAGTCACAGAGTGTGTATTCCATCGTGTCTGTTTCCTTCCCTCGGCATCACGTTGGTGAGATTCATCTGTGCCGCTTGGATGTTTCGGTAGCTCCTTGATTCCTGTTGCCCTCGGGTAGCCCATTGTATGGATATACCACAACTGATCTAGCCCTTTGATTGCTGATAAACCTTGGGGCTTGTTTTCAGTTTGGGGGTGCTAAAGAACCGTGCTCCTATGAATATTCTTGCGCATGATTTTTGTATGCATATGGCACATTTCTGTTGGGTACATAGCATGTGTCCTGCCCTCATAGATACTGGCAAACAGTGATAGGATTTTTATTCTTTTTGAAGGGAAGGTTTCATGGTCTCTAGGAAAATGTGCCTGCTCTCTCCCCACTGGTCTTTATTTATTTTTTTTAAGATTTTATTTATTTGACAGAGAGAGACACAGCGAGAGAGGGAACACAAGCAGGGGGAGTGGGAGAGGGAGAAACCGACCTCCCGTGGAGCAGGGAGCCCGATGTGGGGCTCAATCCCAGGACCCTGGGATCATGACCTGAGCCGAAGGCAGCCGCTTAACAACTGATCCACCCAGGCGCCCTCCCCACTGGTCTTTAAATTCAGCGTCCCAGGGCAGGGAGCATCGGGAAGGGCATCTTCATTAAGCCTGAAAAAAAAAGGTCCTGTAACTGTTAGGCCAAAGTAGTGTGTGCCACTTTTATTTATACATAATCATACTTGATTAACCCTTGACTTATAAGGATTAAATGAGTTACCACTGGTGATGTTCCTGGCAGAATGTCTGGCCCACGACAAGTGCTATAAAAAAAAAAAATGGTTTGTTAAATAAAAACTAAGAGGGTCATTTAAGTCAGTCGCCACTGTGTCTTGTCCCAGACGGAGTAGAGGTAACTGTTGTCAAACAGAACAGTCTGATTGCCATCCACTTGAAGTAATAAAAGAGAAAAACAATTTGTGAAATGAAAAACCAGTATCTAAGGGAAATGGGTGTGGCAGGATGAAGTGATCCCAAGACCAGTGCATTTCCAGTTGGGAAGCAGAATGGCCGGGATGCACGCACACCCCGGAACCACCTTGCTCTCTGACGGTGGCTGTTTAACTTCTGGGCCCCTAGTAGACAGTGGCTCTGTATTATGGGCCAGGCAAGGTGTCAGCATATTCACAGTCGAATTTGGTACTATGTACGGTTTTGAGAAACTGGATGGCATCACCTTGTGTCTATAAAGGCAAATACAGTGATGGACAGATGATTTTCCTGCATTACAGTTGACCTTTAACTCTCAGGAAGTGGAGAAATCGTGGCTGTAAATTAGTCAGTAAAGGTTGACAGTTAATGAGTGATGTTTGAGCCTCAGATGGCAAGGGCGCTCTGTGACTAGGAAAGCTGGATTGAGCCAGCTAGCTTTTCCTGCTAGCTTCCACTTCAGCTGCATTCAGAAGCACGTTCAAAGCTGCTTCAAGTTTGCACTGCGCAGTTAAACTGCTTGCCACTCGGTGGCATGGGACCCTGTATGAGGAGCTTTCATTTGCTACTGTTTTTACAGCCACAACTTTATTAGATATGCAGCCAGAAGAACCTGCCCAAGGATCCAGGCAGCAGGCAGAAAGATAGTCCGGAAGGAGGAGTACTGGAATCAAAGTAGGTTAGGAACAAGACGTGCCTGCACAAAGTAGGAATGTTCTCATATTCTACTCCCCGTGTCTTCGGGGCAAGACTGCCAACTCCAGAGGAAAGTACTCCGTGGGGCCTAGAAATGCATGCAGGGGCGAGAGATGAATGTTACAGAATCCAGCCGGTGCCAGGGAGGCTGCAGTCTTGTTCCAGAACCTACAGTGGTCACCTCGTCCTCAGCCGCTGGGACTGTCCAGCCACGTCCTTGCTCAGGTGGAGGGACACATGCCCCCAGGAGGGCAGTGTGGGCTCCTTGTCTCTGCCATAACCGCCAGCGTCCTTTTGTTTCTTCTGTTTATGTTCGCTGTTCTCTCTCACCATCTTAATTCATGCATTTGTATGACCATTCTTTATTAGGCGTTTGTTAAAAGTAGAAAAATGATGACCTTTCCCCACTTGTATAGTGCATTGATCTCCGGGTCACTAAAATCGTGTTGCCAAAGGAGGACCCATGTTTGTGGTGATCATTTTCCTGTGAAGACAAACACGAATCCTGTGAATTTAAAAGGAGTCACTTGGTCCAAACCCTTCATTTTAGGAGGAAGAAAGAAAGAAGGGCAAGGGCCCAGGATATAACAGCTGACCAGTAAGAGATCTAGAGCCAGAACTCCCCAGCTTTAGCACAGTGCTCTAGATACCCTCATTTAATAATGTCACAGCGTTATCTGTGAAACTCTGCCCAGAAAGCTTCCTCTTATTTTCATTTGCCTGAAGGACAACCAAAGGAGCCCTGGGCCTCTGGGAACTGTAGGGCCATCCTTTTATATGTTCCGCTCTGTCATCTATGATGAGAACATTAGATGGTAGCTGAAGATTGAAGCCACTCTCATATACTTTTTATACCAAAAGACCAGTTGCAGTATTTTTCTGAAAATTGGACCATCTCAGTATGTTCTGAGCAGTGGCCTTGCCAATAATACATATTTTCTTTTTGAAAAATATTGACCCAAAGGACTTAAACCACTTCCATCAGTCCTCTCCCCAGCCTCCTTGGGCCTAAGAAATCTTCCTTTTCTATCCAATTCCTGCTTCGGTTCCCTCCCTTTTGTCCCCACATCTTCTGACTTCTCTGTCGGGGAAGGCCTTTGTGCTGAAGAAGACCACGCGTGAGGGTTTCCTAAAGTTAACAAGTGATGGAAAAATACAATCACGTGGGTTATA